ATTCCTGCACAATGAGTGAGAATGGTATACCATTAAGAGCTCCAAATATAATCAAATCTGTGTACTAAAAGTTCTACCTGATTGCAGGCTATATTTACTCGGATATTCGGCCATGAAGCATCAGGGTCGGTTAAGCACCCTTTCTGGTTTCAAGTGTTCTTTAAGTCCCTTTAGTTATTTGAACCTCTATCTGTTCGAGAAAATGTTGAAGAGAACTAGTTAAACCCGCGATTAAGATTTTGTATATACTACGGATTATTGATATCGTTGTTGTTTTTGGCATTACTTTTCTTTATGTTTTATGTTAATTGTCATAAATGGTCATTACACAGTTGAAAAGAGAAATGGGGGTTGAAGTTTATTGTTGCTGTTTTTTTGTAGGATTGTTGAGAGTGTGGGCGAGGGAGTGACCGAATTTGTGAAGGGAGACAATGTGCTTACGGTATTCACAGGAGAATGCAAGGCTTGCAAGCATTGTGAATCTGGAAAGAGTAACATGTGCCAAGTCTTAGGCCTGGAAAGAAGAGGCGTGATGCACAGTGATCAACGTACACGGTTCTCAATTAAAGGGAAACCTGTTTATCATTTCTGTGCAGTTTCGAGTTTCAGTGAATATACGGTCGTACACTCTGGATGTGCCGTCAAAATCAGTCTGCAGACACCTCTGGAAAAAATATCCTACTTAGTTGTGGTGTAGCTGCTGGTATTGCAGAACATACTGTTCAACTCTTTTAATCTCGACTTTTTGATGATGAAGTAGTAAGAGTGTATGGTGAAGCCTTTATGAACACCTAATGGTTGATTGAAAGTACTAAAATATTCAGTTTATGAGTTACTTTAGCTAGCTCATACATTCTCGAGCGTTATATGTTAGTCTCATTCAGATGTATTCACAAGAATCAGAACCGTAGTTTACGACACCTGACAGTCCTATGGTTTTAGGTCTTGGTGCAGCTTGGAATGTTGCTGATATATCTAAAGGATCAACTCTGGTGATCTTTGGACTCTGAACCGTAGGCCTCGCTGTAAGTATAAGTTGAGTGTTTCAGGAAAAGCCCAGTGCTGTAATGGTATTATTAATATGCTTGTGTGATTAGGTTGCTCAAGGTGCCAAGCTTAGGGGAGCATCTCAGATAATTGGTGTTGATATAAATCCTGAAAAGCATGAAAAAGGTAAAGATCAATATTGCATCTCTGATTTTCAGGCTTCTTGAACCTGTTGTAAATTCTCTAAAACAATATACTATTACGGTTGCAGAAAAGGCTTTTGGAGTCACCGACTTCTTGAATCCAAACGACTATGAAGAACCTATTCAACAGGTATCCATTCAATTGATTACAAAAATCAGTTGGTATGTTTCTTTTCAATATCCTACTCGTTTTTCCGAAAATTTCAGGTTATCAAGCGAATATCTGGTGGAGGAACAGATTACTCCTTTGAATGCATAGGCAATACCGGAATGGTAACGACCGCACTGCAATCATGCTGCGAAGTAATTTCTGAACTTATTATGATTTGCCAATACTTCTCTCTTTTAAAAAAAGATTTTGTTCATCAAAATGAAAACTCACTTGTTCTTTGTTTTCCATTCCAATAGGGATGGGGTTTAACGGTCACACTCGGTGTGCCAAAAGTGAAACCCGAAATAGCATCTCACTATTCAGCATTTCTTTCTGGAAAAACATTGAAAGGGTCCCTACTTGGGGGATGGAAACCTAAATCTGATCTTCCTTCATTAGTGGACATGTACATGAACCAGGTAAAATTTCCTTAACGGCTTCTAGATTTATTCAGTCATTACAAATACCATTATGTTGTTTTTTTAGTTGATATTTTGGACAGTGTAATCCTTTGGGTTCTAAATCATCATACAGCTATATCGTATAATATCTTATTATTTCATATCTACTTATTAAACATTAGGCTTGTAAATGAACCAAACGTTCAGCGAACTGTTCGTGAACCGTTCGGCGGGAAGTTCGTTTATTTATTAAACGAACGAGCATGAACAAGATTTTTTGTTCGTTTAATTAAATGAACGAACATGAACAGAGGGCTCGTTCGTTCATTTACGTTTGTGAATATTCAATAATATGTTCGTTTACTTTCATTCGTTTATGTTTGTTCATTTATGTTTAGCCCTGTCTCTCCAGACCCATTTAAAATTCAAGGCCCAATAAATTTGAATTTGATACCCATTAATACTTTAAAATTCAATTAATTTTAAAATACAAATAAAAAACCCAAAACAATTAAACAAATTAACTATGAAGTTGCAACTTATCCTAATGAATTTTATGTGATTTTTGTTGTTGTGGTTTATGTTCGTTTACTTTTATTTATTGTGTTCGTTTACGTTATTTCATTTGTGTTCATTTACGTTAATTTATTGTGTTCGTTTATGTTCGTTCATTTGTGTCCGTTTACATTTAAATGAACGAACATGAACAAGCTACATTCCTTAACGAACAAACACGAACAAGAAATTTTTTGTTCATTTATGTTCGTGTCCATTCATGTTCGGCGTCCGTTCATTTGTTCGGTTAAAGTTAAACGAACGAACATGAACATACCCTTGTTTGTGTTCGTTCGGTTCGTTTACAGGCCTATTAAACATTAGATATATTGTGTATGCTTAGGGTTATTAGTTACTTTTAGAGTTTGAATCTAGGGCTGTAGATAAAGTTTTACTTGCAAGTTTAGTTACTTTGCTTACAAGAAGTCTATATAAATAAGATGTAGGTTTTACAATCAAGACAATTATATTAAAGTCCAAATCAACTGACTAATTGAAATGAAATTGAGCAAGTATATTTGTCTGGTTGTTCATGCTGTTTATTTTTATTTTCTCATATTTCCTTGAGTTATGGGTTCTAGACCTACTAGAAGCAGTCCGTTTCTCCTAGAGTCCCCTTCTCCTCCCTCCAAGTAGAATTGATATTAGCTTTAGAATTTATCAAAAAATGAATTGAAATTTATAACGGAACTCGTGATTTGGACTAAAGAAAAGGCAAGTCTCGGGGTGTTTTACCATAAACCTTGACTTCCCTGGTTGTGAACCTGTAGAACATTGAACAAGCTAACTTTCTTAACCTATTGACAATATACATACATTCTACGGACGCAAATGTTTGAACTTAGGACTTTCAAGAAGAACAACTCCTCTCTACCTCTGATGTCACCTGATGGGTTCTATTAAATGTTAATTTAATTATGTAATATTTGATTATTGTTCTCACAGGAAATCCAGGTTGACGAGTTCATCACGCATAATCTTCCATTTGAAGACATCAACAGAGCTTTCAGTCTGATGAGAGAAGGAAAATGCTTGCGGTGTGTCATTCACATGCCTAATTAGTTTCCCATCACTATGCAAGCAAACATGATATGTGATTAGATAGATGCATGTTAAACCTGCCTTAGTGTATTTTCTTGTCGTGATCTCATAAGAGTTATTTTATATGATAATAAATTTTAACATTCGTACAATTATTATTTTTTTGTCAACTTTTTTAATATTATGTCCCATAATCTAATAAAGTTTTAATGGGCACATTCTTATAAAAGTAATATTTGTTCAGAATACTTTTTAATCATTGAATTACGGCTATTATTGATAAAAAAAATATTAGGAATTTTAACCATCAAAACAGAAAGTAACTCATCACTGTTTAACGGAACACAAAAATATTATTGATAAAAACAAGTTAAAGAATATAGGCTTAATATAAAAGTAAGTGCCTAAACTATACTTAAAATTAATTTTTGATGCTTAAAAATATTTTTTTAAAAAATAGACAACACAAGTCACTTAACGGTTTTTTTAACAGTACATACCTAAAAGTGTAATAAAGAAAATTTTAGACACATATATTTAACGAAAAAAATCTTTAGATACCAAAATATTTTTCAAATCATTTTGACAGTTATTTTTGTATTAAGCCCAGAATATATAAAATCCAAATCAAACTATTATTAGATTTTTTTTTTTTGTTTCTATAGTAACACTGGAAATTCGAGGATATGGTTCTCTAGGTGTCGTTGAATACAGTTTCATCATTAGAATTGGCATCTTTACTGACTTCAAACATAATTATTCTTATGAGATGAATTACTATTTTTATGAATGATCATCCATAAATATTAAAATATTAAAACATTAAAATTTCAAATAAATTTTTTCATTAATTTTATCACATTATTAAAAAGTAATTTTTTTTAAAAAATAATTTAATTGATGTTGATCCAATAACTTCATTATTATATTTCTTAGATTCAGTTTGACAATGCTTCTCGCAATAGAAAAATGATTTCCTACTCAATAAGTAATGTCAAACGCTTAAAATTGATTAAAAATTATGGTAATTTTTAACATAATCTTAAAAGCTCAAATTTCTAACTTTTGTTGTAGAAAATCACTGTTGAGGTAAAATTATAATTTTATCCTCAATTATTATCATATAATATTTAAAATAAATATTTTATCTTTTCAAAAATTATTTTTTAAACATTAATATCAGACAATTAAATTTTATTTATTATTTTGATAAATTCTAAATCTAGAGAGGAGATAAAAGGGAGACTGAGAGAAATAGGGTAAATCTAGTTGATCTAGAAGACTAGACCCAGAGAATATGAGAGAATAAAGATGAATAATTTGACCAATTATTCTAATATATTTACTAAAAACAATTAAATTTTAAACTATATTTTTTAAAAATAGTTTAAAATTGTTTTTTTTAAATTAAAATTGATTTTAAAAAATAATACAAAATTGATTCATAAAAAGTTAAAAGTTCAAGTGAAAAAAAAAACCGAAATGAAAAATTAGACAAAGTTAGAGGATAAAAAGGTCATTTTAAGCAGTGTACGAGTATCCGGATAGTGTGGGAAACTGGGAATGTAAGAAATTAAAGCAAAATAAAGAAGCAAGGAGCAGGCTGAAAAAGAAAACAGAAAAAAGGAAAAACAATCGGATTTTCCCGCCTCCCACGCGATTACCACTTGAAATCGCACACATTTTCAGATCTGAAAATAAAAATAAAAATGGTGAGAGCCTCCTCCTCTTCGAAAAAGCCACTGGTTGCTGAAACCCCAGAAGCCACTGAACGGAAAAGACTGAAGAAATTAGCTCTGAAGAACCACTTACTCTCCGAGACACCGGTCGCCCCCAAATCATTTTCTCCCCTCAGCCCATCCAAGCAAGTCATCAAGCACCACGGAAAAGATATCCTCAGAAAATCTCAAAGGAAAAACCGTTTCCTCTTCTCTTTCCCTGGTCTCCTTGCTCCCATCTCTGGTGGCAAGATCGGCGACCTCAAGGACTTGGGATCAGAAAACCCTATCCTCTACCTTGATTTCCCCCAGGTTTCAAAACCTTAATTCAATTCAATCCCAAATCTTCTTTGAGTTGTTTAATGTAATGGAATCGAATCTAATAATAATTGCAACTTGTTTGGGTTTTTTAGGGCCAAATGAAGCTATTTGGGACCATTGTGTATCCCAAGAATAGGTATTTGAGTTTGATGTTCTCTCGCGGTGGAAAGAATGTTATGTGTGAGGATTATTTTGACAACATGGTCCGTACTTTTCTTATGCTTTAGGATTTATCGCTCAACCAGTGTCGTTTCTTTATTATTTTGACAACCTTAGAATTCTGTTAACAACTTCCAAATGTTCTTCTCGAGGATCACTCATATGTTGGCTGACAATGCTCATTGAGTATGCAATATCAGGCCTGGTCACTGCAAAGTAGATCAACTTCCCAACTAACCTTTGGTAGGTTTCTTTGTTTACTGGATTTCCAGTCCGGTTCTTGTAAAATTTCAAGCCTGGCTCTATTGGAGTTTCAACTGGTTTGCAATCAAGCATCCTTGTTTCTGCAAGAAGATCCAAAACATACTTACGCAGGTTTATGACCAGCCCTTCTTCGGACCTTGCAACTTCCATACCTAGGAAATACCTCATACTCCCTAACTCCTTGGTTTCAAACTCCTTTACAAGATTCATCTTTAGTTTTTCTATTTCTTTTATATCACTGTCAGTTATAATCATATTGTCGTAACCGTCTTTCAGTTGGGCCCCAAATTGAGTTTTGATTTGAAATAATGGGGTTTGAAGTCCCCACCGACCACTTTAAAATGAATTTAGGTGGGTTGGACACCATCTTACCTGATCTGTGTTTTTACCAGAAATGTGTCGAGTTCGGGAGTCGGTTACAATCAAGGAAGGATTAGCACCCTTGAACCACAATTTCGGTACCAATTAATTTGCTGGTTGTCTTAAATTAAGAAAATTGTAATTTAAAATTAAATGGTAAAAATACGATCACAGTTACTTACCTTAGATAGTTTTAAAGGCGTGGTCTTAAGACGGTCAAAAAACCATGTTAGATAAAAAAATAAGAAATACATAAATAAATTAAATTAAAATGAAGAAAAAACAAATTAAATAAAAGATAAGATAAAGAAAGTAAAGATAAAATAGTAAGTAAAATAAAAATAAAAAAATAAAGAAAAAAGGAAAAAATATATAAATATATAAATATATAAATAAAACAAATTAATAAAATAATAATAAAAAGTAAAAATAATATATATATATATATATAATAAATAAAAAATAAAAAATAGTAAATATATATATATAAATTAATAAAACTGATAATAAAAAAATAATATATATAATCTAAAAAAATAAAAATATATACTAAAGTAAAAAGAAAATGCATAAAATGTAAAAAAATATTACATGAAAAAAAGAAAGGAAAAATAACAAAATAATTAAATAAAATGAGTAACAAGAGAAATGTGTGTATAAATAAAATTAAATAAATAAAATAATAATAATTAAAACGTAAATGTAAGAGACCGAATCAAAAGTAAAAAAGATGCTACATTTTATTTCCTTTTCAAATCGTTTACAATAGCTTTGCCTTTGTATTTTCCGTGCTTTTCTCTGTATTTTGTATGTAAATCGTGTGTTACAAATGGGGAGGATTACATGTATTTATAGTGAAAAAAACTAACTATTTTTAAAATCCTATTAACAATAGAATCCTAATGCAACTAGACTCATTGCTCGGTTATTGCACGTTTGTTGGTGTTTTTGTTGCTTTAAAAGATATGGTGGTGGAAGAGTCCTCATAGGAGAGAAACTCTTGCTAGTTCTATCTTTTAAGAAAATAGGTGTCTACAACTATCGTCTTTGTCCTTTTTTGGTGGAACGAAAAATAGGACAGATAAAAAGACACAAATTTTCGTTCAGTGGAGTTGAAGAATAACTCAATGTCGAATTGAATTGTGGATGGCTCCTCCGTCGCGAAGTCGAGTCCATCTTGAAATGATTTGAATCAGAATGTGGCTTCTCGTTGTAGTCCACTTTGGTATTCTTCTCGATTTAAAGACCTTTGCTAAAAATTCGATTGGAAAATAATCTCTCGACTCCACAATGTGGTTGATATGCCCTCGAGCTGAATGAAAACTGAACTCGAAAAGTCTTCGCTGATAGATAGCTTTTCTCGACTTAAGTTATGCTGACGGAAAAAAGGCTTCTTGCTACTAAGGCACGGCTAACCCATACCTTCTCTGCTTAAAAAACCTCGATTGCAGCCAGACAATAGTGTGATTGAGGTGTCAAAAGGTCTGATAATTTGCATCAAGATGTTGAATTCCCAAAGATGCCCCAATATTCGATGTTGAATCTCAAAAAATGCCCTAACATTTTATGTTAAATCTAAAAAAATGCCCCAACATTTGATGTTGAATCTTCAAAGATGTCCTCATTGTTCCTGATTTTTTGCTTCAGCATTGATTCTAAGCATGAGTTTTGTGTTTGAGAGCCACATGTCATTTATCAAGATCCATTCTAGAGAGATTGTCTTGTTTTGAAAAAAAATGTTTTTCTTTCTTTTTAATTTTCAAAGTTCTGAAAATATCAAAAAAAGAGTTTTGAAAAATGTTTAACCAAAAGTTTTGAAAATATTACCCCTTTCACTGTTTTACAATTGAGACAAATCATAAAACTAGAGTTCATTGGATATCAAAAAATTAATTACATTGTTAATCCTTCAATAAATTATAGCCATTTGACACGTGCCAAGATCAAATCTATTTTTGGGAAATGGTTGAGTAAGGAAAGGATAAAAATGTCTCAGGTTATTGTGTTTGGTCAAAGGTTTGACATTTTTGTTTATTTGACGCTCAAAGGTTTGATGGAGTATCTTCCATGCTCCTCTATTGGAAGTGTTCTCTGATTCCCAGCTTTTATGGTTAAGCTCGGATTGTGCGATGCCTTATCAAGGAATTCGTGCGATCGCCTCAGTTGCCCAATTTTTGTTTTCGAGCCACCTTTTCAGGTTTTCAACTTGAATATTCCTTTAGTTTCAAGACGTCATTTGTAATTTACATCTTGAACCCCCTTTTGTTATTTTTCTCTATCATGCATTAATTACACTATTTTTTGCAAATAACGATTAGTCTTGATGGGCAGGATGAAATCTGAAGATAGTCTTTTCTGTTTAGAAATTCATGTATGATTAGAAAGAACTTTTAAGGCACGTAACGTAGGTCATGGTTCATGGTTATGAAAGAAAGAGATATCTTGCTCAATTTGAATCTGCTCGTATGTGTTTCTCTTGATTTTCTATGATCTTCGAGTGGAGTGATTCAGTGATTCAGAAATGATTGTGCTTGATCAATCTCATTTGATGCTCTATGATCTTCGAGTGAAGTGGTTCAGTGATTTAGAAATGATTGTGCTTGATCAATCTCATAGTTTGAATCTCGATGCGTCGTTTGAATCGAGAGAACCTTTGCATATGCATCTTGTTTTTCTTTTTTCTTCAATTTTTCTTTGTTTTTTTTCTTTGTTTTTTCTCTTTGCTTTTTTCTCTTTTTTTTTCTTTTTGTTTTGATTGAATCTTCGCACCTGGCATTTGGTTCACCTTTCGGTATCTCATTTGAATCAATATCTTTACTCATGCGAGCAGATTTTCTCCACCTTGCCCCCCAGTGTGGAGGGTGCTCTTTGGTTAGGGTTGAATCAGAAGAAAAATACTATAGGCTCAAAAGAGGACACAAGTGATACACATTTTCTCCTGTTGTGAAGGGATGAAGAAAGAAAGTCGTTCATCATTTCATACATGGAAGTCCTCACAGAAGAGGTATCCCCAGGGGGATAGATTTTCAGGATTTATTTTTATTCACATGAAAACAGTGCAATTAATGCATGGTATAATTATTCCGAGTGAATTCTTCTTTCTGTTTCTTGCCCCCAACATGTCTCAATGTTCATGCTCCCTACGAGATGTACCAAGTTGTGTCTTAGAAGAAGGCTCATGTTCAAATGAACAACTCAATGCCTTGGGTTTTAATGGCATAAAAATGTCAATTTTGGGTCTAAAAAGATAATAGTGTGACTTTATTTGACTCAAAGAAAGGTATGAGTGTATCAAAAGATAAAGACAATGTTCAAAAGTTTCAAAGGGAGGTAATGTCAAAATTTAGTCTTTTTGGTAATGACCATGAGTTATTTTGGGTAAAGAATCAAGGTATTTAATTTTGGGGCTTGAGACAAGATAAGAAAGGTATAATCTTGACATATGTCAAAAATCTATAATTCTTGAAGAATTAAAAGAATCCTTAATTCATTTAATATTCGAAGAACTAAAGATTAAAATTTGTTCAATTGCTCCACCTTAGAAAGTAGCATAAATTCATTCGTTTAAAAGATTAAGCAAACATGAAAGATCAAAGACGTGTTCAAACAAAACAATCTTCTAAGTGCAAATGATATATGCAATGTCCCCTTCTTCGGCTGTCCATTCCCTTGAATCCATCAAGTTTTGGATCTCGCGCTTCAGCGCCTTATAGTTCTCAAAGGAATGTATGGAGCATCCTATGTGGCAACTGCAAACAGCTTCAACATCATAACCCTTAGGATATGTTGACTCTTTTCTCAGATCATCCTGGCAGGCTTAGTCGTACAACCAGCTGATCGGGCTCATTCGTTGTGATTTCATTTTTTTTCTTTTGATGTTACAATCTTGCTTCCATGTGGTGTCATGTGGTTAAAACCACTTCATCGAATTCTCCATGAAGAAATTTTATGTTTATGAAAATGCTTAAAAAACGAAATGTAAATGCAAAATGCAAAAATGCATGAAATATTCGAGGCATTGATCCAAAAACATATATGTTATTATAAATAACATTTATTGGGACAAAAGTGTTTTATCTTTTAAGAGACAATAAACATCCTGACAGGTTGACTAGTCTTTTGCTTTTGTCTTTCACCGGTTGAATAACCTTTCGAACAACTCCATCTTCTCTGGTTAAACCGTACAAGTGACGATCTGCTCTCTGTACTTGTTCCCAGAAATATCGAATGATTGCATCTCTGGATTTCATCCTTTGCTGAGCATGTTCTCTAATGGTAACACCATTGGAGCCCTCTATCGATAAGAGCTATCTGAAGTTTATTTGCATGTTTCTTGAATTCGTCAGCAATGACCTCCAATTTCAACTATCGCTTTGTCATCTTGTTCTTGTTGTCTTTGAAAAGACTCTCCAGATCAACAACCTTCATCTTGCCCCTTCAACTTTTGCCAACCCAAAGTTGATTTTTG